TCTCTCTTCTTCTTCTCTCTCTCTCTTCTCTCTCTCTCTCTCTCTCTCTCTCTCTCTCTCTCTCTCTCTCTCTCCTCTCTTCTTCTATTTCGAACACACGACTTATCCGACTCCGTCTAATGTTCGCAGACACGGGTATACGCGTCTCTGTTTCCTTGGTGTTGTGCAGCCAGCATGGAAGGGGCCAGAGGCCGAAGGAGAAGGAGAAGAACCAGTCGTGAACCAGAACCGACGGTCCTCAGAATCTCCCAGTCACCTCTTCGAGTCTGTACGGGGACCAGCGCGTGGATTTGTCCCGATCGTGGATACGCACACCTCGATATTTTCCCGCTTCTTGGCGCGTAACAACGATCGTGCCGATCGATTCGATCATCTATCCACGATGACGGCGTGGATACACGATGCGGGCAGGATGGATTGACACGCAACGAGGTGAGTCGATTTTGTATCGCGCGAAAACCGGTCGACGAACGCTATCCCATACTGCAACTTTTCTTCGTGACATTGTCCCGAAAAACCGGTATCGAACCGGTACGAAATTCCGCGATGCAATAATGCGTCGACGGATTATCGGATCGATGGATAGGGACAGACGATACCTCTGATTAATTTTCTTTCATGTTTTTCTGGCTGGAATATTTATGATCTCGTGCGATGAATATGCACAGTTTTTTTTTTATCGTGGGATAGTGATTCCTTGACCGATTTGCGACCGCCATGTTTGTTTTTTTATTGTATTGTCGATGGACGAGAGAGTTGAGCATCGGAAACTCAATATTGATTGTTATTATTCCGAAGAGTTTGAACAGTTGAAGATTTTAAACAGTTTGCGTTGAAAAAGAAAACGTTAGTTATTATGGAACAAGGATTTCATTTTACGTGTGATTGAATTAAAACGTTTTATCAATTGTTTTAAAACGAGAATTTTAACTCGCAATTCGATTAACTTTTAAATAAATTTTTCTTATTTATCGTGAATAACTCGCTATCTTCTTTAACGAAAAATCATGAATGAAAATTCGATCTTTAACTCACGATCGATCGTCCCGTTCCAAGATCACGGTATCTTAGTGCCGGTCTCTATAAATCAGGCGCCACGGCCGCGTTTATGGGATCGGAGATTCATTCTCGAAACGCGTAGGTGACTTTCTATCCGCGTACCGTCATTGGCTCGACGTTGTCGTCGAAGGACGATGGCTCAAAGAAGCGTGGGCCACGTCGAAACTTCACAGAGGCCGTTAATTATGTCCGGACTTAATCTGCCGCTAATGGAGAATTAATCGATATCGAAACGGAAGGAAAGGGAGTCACGGTTGAAAGGGATGTTCGGCTAATTGATTCGCTTGGTTATTCAACGTCCACTCATTTACCCATTGATCGTCAAGCATCGCGCAGGGCCAATGATATATTCATTAATGCGTCTTCCACGTATAAATTGCGACAATATATAGGTTATTGAGAATAATTATTCCATTCGTGCCGTGTACGCGGCTCGTTTTACGTGCTCGTATACAAGAGAAGTCAATAACCTGGGCTACACCACGACCGGCCTCGGGATCGTAAATTCGCGATAAAATTCTGATAACGACGGACTGTGGCCATCCTTCCATTAAACCAAATGCAAAATTCCCGTGTATCGGCATTTATATTAGGTAATAATTCTTTTCCCGTGGAAGGAAGAAACGTGGTAAAGAAATTTTTTTATCAGTTAATTTTTAACTTTGAAAATCATAAAAATAACAAGAACAACGGAACTTTCTTATTTCTGATTCTAAACCGATTCATAGGATAATGATAAGTAAGTTTTTCCATATCATTTATCTCGATCTTCGATTTCTGCGAATAATAGTCGTGGAATAATTGCCAAATTTAAATGATGATGTAATGAAAAAATACTCGAATACTCGATCACGTAGCTTTTCAACTGTTGTTCAAACTGCTACACCTACTGATACCGATTTGCATATCGCATTCCGCTATTTCTTCGTGTTTACCAGCGATCCGATCGCTGCTTACATTCCGCACGCGCATAATCTCGTGGAAACAGAATAGAGTTCGGTAACGTGGAAATATGACGACCAGACACATTGTTTTCGTCGTTCACGTCACGGTCGGGTATGTCAGATTTTCAGATTCGAGTTATCGTGAAGTATTTACGTAACATCTTCGTGAAAATTCTGTGAAAATTGTGTGAAGAGAATTTATTGATTGTTAAAGTATCAGATTCGTTGGAGAAGTTGTGTATGAATTTTAATGTAGAAATCGAATATTGTGAAAATTATGCGTGTAGTATTTGTTTTATCGTGCAAAAATGCCACGTTAAATGGATTAATTGAAGTTTGTATCTATTTATTTATGGATAACGATACATACGAAGTATGATGATTAATTTAGAACAGATAAAGTTAGTCGAATATAACTTTGTTCCAAATAGATACGAGATTATTTATATGTGGTTATATATGGTTGAATAACAGTCTAGTATAACAAGATCAGCTTAACGATTGATATTACATACGTATTAAGATTTGTTACATTCCGTTAAAACGGAAGGATTTAATATCACACGAGGCATTGTTGCAAAATAAATAAAATAAATACTCTAACGAATCGACAAACGTGTTTGCACACGCAATCGTCAGATTAGACACACCTCCATTCGGTGCTAATTCTTTGGATACACATCACGACGTTCACTAGTATTTTTAGAAAGATTTTGCGTCATAAAACTTTAAACCTTCCTTCAAAAATAACAACATAACAATAATTTTAGCATATCCTCAAATTCCTTCCTACATCCATAATTTTCAATCAATGTTATTTCCTGATCTATCTAATTGATAATTAAATCTTTCGTCTTCGAATATAATTCCAAATTATTCTCACCAATTCCAATTTAATTTTCTCGATGCTTAAATAATATTCCATATTTCTCCAAAATCATCCAATTTTCTCAAATATCAATGCTTAAATATTTCAATATTTCATCATTCCAATTTAATTTTCTCAATATCGATATTTGAATTATTTCATAATTCTGAAAATTCATCGTTTCAATTTAATTTTCCCGATACCGCACTTAGCACTCGTTTCTAAATTTACAATTCCAAACAAAATAATTTTCCAAAACCTTCGTTTCCGTCGTCTCCACCTTCGAAACATTGCGCCGCAAATTTCCTGCAGTCAAATGATTTTCCATCGTCTCCACAGTTTCCCCAACGTCGCCTCGTATTCCTCGCGGAAACAACGCCTCGATTATTTACGCGAATCGACAATTTCCTTTAAACGCGACAACGGCCACGATATTTACAATGCACGGTCGGCAAAGTGATGTATCAAGATCCGCGGCATTTCTGTCGATACATATAAGGATAGAATCGCGACAACACCCCCTTTGCCTTTGCCTCCTCCTTTCCCTTCTTCCCTCTCTCATGCGAGCACAGATCCAGGTACGCGCAATTAACGAACTTATCTCCAATAATCCGTGGATGGAAACGGATCAGGCCGCCATTAAACGTTTATACGTCGAGTCGTTCAGATCGTATAGCAAGAGATCGATCTTTTTATCGGAGATACGAATTTTCGAAAATTGTGGATCTCTTCAGATGGAAAGGAATGTTTCTAAAAGTGGATTTAAATTCTCGTTGCGTTTCAGAGTTGTGAGGATTGGATAATTGGACGGTGTAATCTCTTTTATGTGTGTAATTATTGGGAGCGGGAGTTCGGTAATAAGAATTTCTTGGAAGATTTTTTTTGTTGCTCTCTTTGCTTAGTCATTCGTGGATTGCATCACGCACGCATTTATTTCTTGTATTTGTAAATAGAAGATTTTTAGCAAGACTGAAGTTGTCGGGAAACATGCTTTTTATATTTTAATTGTATTATCGGTATTTTACTTTTTAGCGGTTTCTAATAGAAATAGAAATTTTTAGAAAGTTATATCTCGTTACTTATTTATTCATAGGTACAATTTTTGTATCTATATATATATATGTTAATCTGTTAAATTTGAAATTGTTAATTAAAATTGAGAGTTACATAATATAACGGCTTCAAAATCTCGGAGAGACAAACAAACTTTCCATTTTAAAAGTATACGCCGGCAGATGTACGATATTGCATTTCTTGTTTACACCGCGATAATGCGTTTTCATATTTTTATTTTCTCAATTCGTAGACATCCGAAGAATATTTATCCCCGGTTCGAAACCATACGCGATCCACCGGCCATCCACATCGTTGCACATGTGCGTCGTTACGCAACTATTTGTAATAGTCGTTTTGTTTGACTTGCAACAAAGAAGAGTATTTAGCGCGTGTACATTCTAGGCACTTATATGCTAATCCGTGCACATTTTATCTGGGACGTCGATTGGCCTCACGTCGTCCATTTTTCGTGGCGAGTGCAAGCTAATTTCTGTCTAATTAGTGCCAATTAATTTATTGTGCGAAAGTGTGCGCGCACAACACAAACGTTTCCATCGAAATTGGTCCACGGAAAATTAGGTTCGTTTCGCTCGATTATGAGATAATCGACGTCCATTTCCATTCCATTCGCGGTAGAAACACTGTTGAAATTTTACTCGCTTCCTCGGCCATCTTTTCTTATTCTTCGTCGAATCTTCATACGCGCCAATTATTTACTGTCAAAATAAATCCATTCTTTTCACATTGCATTAAAATTCTTCAGACTTTCCGTTGTTACCGCTATTTCTACATTATTTACATTTGGTTTTTGCTATTTTTTTTTTTTTTTGTGTTTCGTGTTAACGAACTTGTCTACCCGCATACGGATAATCACGAGGAATCGTCTCGTCAACAGGTCATTAAACCGGATACGAATTGAAATAATACGAACTGAAAACGACGAGTATTCGTGTATCAATTTCGAAGCGAAAGTCGGTTGATATATCGTCAGGAAGAGTATTTTAATAATTTTAATAACAGGAAGCGCGAGAATGAATCGAAAAATCGGAGGAAAAATCGTACTCGATCGAAACTTGGCGCGAAATTAATTGAGATGGAAAAATGTTTCGCGCATTCTCGAAATCCGGCGAATTTTCTGTTAATTACGTGTGGCGGATTCAACAAATAAATTACAAGCGGCTGGCAACAAACCGCTTTCAACCGTATCTCTCAACTTATTCATTACCTTTCATCGACCCGCCCGTACGGGCAAATGGAATCCTTATTTGGCGCAGACTTCGTTCCGAAGCTCGTTAAAAGCGACCGTAGAAAGTCCGTGGAAAGCAACGGCCCGACCATCGTCGAAGAGAGGAGAGGCTTGGCCGCGTTATCGATAACTCGTGACCAATTTTCCGGCTCCCCCGTGACATTTCGGTTTCTCGGAGCTCGTTTTTCAGAGAGTTCCACCATACTCCCACGAATATGTCGATTATAGCCGTCGTTCAGTCGACGAGTGAGGTTTCTCG